CGCACGATCCAGTAGTTTTTCTGGGCGATCGGAATACAACTCCAGGGCTCGGCCTGAGCATAGAGACGCATCAACGAGTCGAGCCTCGAGGCACATTCTGAACACAGAAGTCAAGGCGACTGGAGTCTCAGCACCGCTCTCGTTTCCTGCGTCTCGTGGATCAGTGTGTGTGTGTGTTTGGGTGTGTGTGTGTGTTTGGGTGTGTGTGTGTGTGGGTGTGTGTGTGGTGCTTGTTTGCAGGTGGCGGTTCTGTTTTGCATTTTGCAAATTATTTGTGGGTGTAGGTGTGTGGGTGTGCAGGTGTGTGTGTGGGTGTGCAGGTGTGTGTGTGGGTGTGCAGGTGTGTGTGCAGGTGTGTGTGTGGGGGGGGGCAGGTGTGTGTGCGTGTGTGTGCAGGTGTGTGTGTGTGGGGGGGTAGGTGTGTGTGTGTGGGTGTGTGTGTGTGTGTGGTGCTTGTTTGCAGGTGGCGGTTTTGTTTTGCATTTTGCAAATTATTTGTGGGGGTGTGTTCGTGTGTGTTTTTTTTCTTCTGTTTGGCTTAGTTTGGTGTTGTGTTTGCTGTGTGTGTGTGTGTGTGTGTTGGTGTGTAAGTGCCACCCACTCGGGAGATCCACAACTGCTCACCACCCCATCGTTTTGTTTGTGTGTGTTAAGCCCTTTAAAAGAAAAGTGCCTGCTGTTGGCTTGGACTGACTTGCACACCTTGGAAAGACCTTCGAGGGAAATTCCTTTTTTCTTCTTCTTCTCCTATCATCTCAGATGGATTGTTTTTTTTAAAAAAAGAAAAAAAGAAAAAAATACACATTAAAAAAAGATTATTGAGTTGGAAGGAGGGAGGGAAGGGCAGAGAGAGAGAGAGAGAGAGAGAGATTTATACAGAGAGAAAGACACAAATAAGAGTAAAAACAACTAAAAGAAAATTAAGAAACCAGGAGGAGAACTGTGGAGAGAACTGAGAAGTTATTGGAAAGCAGTTTGACTTGGGTTCGCTCTTTTGTGGTGGTGATTTTTTTTCGCACAGAATTTATACTTTTTATTTCCTCGTCGTTAACTTTTTCCCCCCCACAACACCCCCCCCCCCACCTCCTCCCTTACTTCCTCCACCACCATCTATCTCCTTGCTTTTCTCTCTCCTACATTTATTTTCTAAATAACACAAACACTCAGAGAGAGACACACACAGTGGGAAAGAGAAAGAAAGACAGATAGAGAGAGAGAGAGAGAGACACACACAGTGGGAGAGAGAAAGAAAGACAGATAGAGAGAGAGAGACACACAGTGGGAGAGAGAGAGAGAAAGAAAGATAGAGAGAGAGAGAGACACACTGGGGGAGAGAGAGAAAGAAACAGATATATACAGAGAGAGAGGCACACACACACACAGTGGGAGAGAGAAAGAAAGACAGAGAGAGACACACACACACAGTGGGGGAGAGAGAAAGAAAGAAACCGAGAGAGAGAGAGGGAGAGACACACACAGAAACACACACAGTGGGGGAGAGAAAGAAAAGAGACAGATAGAGAGAAAGAGACAGAGAGAGAGATAGAGAGAGACAGAGAGAGAAAGATAGAGAGAGATAGAGAGAGACAGAGAGAAAGATAGAGAGAGATAGAGACAGAGAGAGATAGCGAGAGAAAGAGACAGAGAGAGAAAGAGACACAGAGTCAGAAGGAGAGAAAGAAAGAGAAAGAGAGAGGAGAGGGAGAGACAGAGGGAAGAGGTTGGAGGCGAACGTGTTGGAGGCGAACGTGTTGCATCTGTGGAGCGGGAGGATGGGCGCTAAGCAGAGCAGTCCGGCTACAGCGAATGGACGGACCAGGGCTTACTCGGGCTCGGATCTACCCTCCAGCAGCCGGTCTGGCGGCTCCGGAGCCGCCGCCGCCTCCTCCTCCTCCTCCTCCGCCGCCGTGGTGACCGGGGGGCCTCTGGGCGGAGCTGCCCGCTACCACCTGCCCTCCCCCGGCTCCCCCGGCCCCCCCGGGCGGGGCTCGGGCTCGGGCAGCCCGGGACAGGCTCTGGGCTCCAGGACCAGGTCGATGGGGGCGAACAGCCGCACTCAGTCCCTCAACCAGTCCCTGCACATCCCCGGCGGCGCCCACAGCCCTCGGGAGTCGGACAGCAGCGCCGCCCCGGAGGACAGCTCCGGGGACAGGGCAGCGCACGGGGGGCCTCGGCTCCTCATAGGATCCCTCCCCGCACACCTGTCACCTCACCTGTTTGGAGGTAGGATTCGCGCCTCACGCGCACCGGCTCGTGTGTGTGTCTGTGTGTGTGTGTGTCTCTGCGAGTGTCTGTCTGTGTGTGTGTGTGTGTGTCTCTCTGCGAGTGTCTGTCTGTGTGTGTCTGTCTGTGTGTGTGTGTGTCTGTGTGTGTGTGTGTCTCTGCGAGTGTCTGTCTGTGTGTGTGTGTGACTCTGTGTCTTGTCTGTCTGTCTCTGTGAGTGTGTGTCTGTGTGTGTGTGTGTGTCTCTGCGAGTGTCTGTGTGTGTGTGTCTGTGTGTCTCTCTGCGAGTGTCTGTGTGTCTGTGTGTGTGTCTGTGTGTCTCTCTGCGAGTGTCTGTCTGTGTGTGTGTGTCTGTGTGTGTGACTCTGTGTCTTGTCTGTCTGTCTGTCTGTGTGTGTGTGTGTGTGTCTCTGCGAGTGTCTGTGTGTGTGTGTGTGTGTGTCTGTCTGTGTGTGTGTGTGTGTGTGTCTCTGCGAGTGTCTGTGTGTGTGTGTGTGTGTCTGTGTGTCTCTCTGCGAGTGTCTGTCTGTGTGTGTGTGTCTGTGTGTGTGACTCTGTGTCTTGTCTGTCTGTCTGTCTGTGTGTGTGTGTGTGTGTGTCTCTGCGAGTGTCTGTCTGTGTGTGTGTGTGTGTGTGTGTCTCCGGTGCCGGTCCGTGTGTGTGTGTGTGTGTGTCTGTGTGTGTGACTCTGTGTCTTGTCTGTCTGTCTCTGTGAGTGTGTGTCTGTCTGTCTCTAACTATCTCTGTTGTGTCTCTCTGTGTCTCTCTGTGTGTGTGTCTCTCTGTGTGTGTGTCTCTGTGTGTGTGTGTGTGTTTCTGTGTGTGTGTGTGTGTCTCTCTCTGTCTGTGTGTGTCTCTCTCTGTCTGTGTGTGTCTCTCTCTGTCTGGTGTGTGTCTCTCTCTGTCTGTGTGTGTGTCTCTCTCTGTCTGTGTGTGTCTCTCTCTGTCTGTGTGTGTCTCTCTCTGTCTGTGTGTGTCTCTCTCTGTCTGCGTGTGTCTCTCTCTGTGTCTCTGCGTGTGTCTGCGTCTCTCTGTGTCACTGTGTGTGTGTGTGTGTGTATATAAATATGTGTGTGTGTGTGTATACGCGAGAAGAAGCAAAGATATTGTGTTGTATAAACACTAACCAAACACTCTGCTCGTTTGCTGTAACCTGACAACTCGTCATTGCTACTTTTGACCTTCCAAAAAAACACCCAACACAGAGCGAGATGTCAGAACTTCCACTTCATATATTGGGGTTTATCCCCCCCCCTCCCCCCCTCCTCCCTCTCTCTCCCTCTCTCTCTTTCTCCCCTCCAGTCGCAAGTTATGTATTTAACCACCCAACCCGACCCATCCCAGCAAAAAAAAATCTCCCAGCAAAAAGTGCAATGTGTTGACTTTTGCTTTATTTAAGGATCTGCACCCACCCACCACCCACCCACCCACCCACCACCCACTCCCAGAGCAACCTCCCCATCCCTGTCCCCCTCAAGGCTCAAATACACGAGCTGCTTTTGCACTGAAGCAGGGTACAAGTCTGCAGGGCCTTTTTTTTTTCTTCTTCTTCTTCTTCCTCCTCTCACCATTGTTTTGTTTTGCTTCCAAATGTATTGGCTGTCTGACAAACGCATTACAAAAAACTTTCTCACACAGGCGTGAAAGGCACACAACCCATTAGTGCTGCCTCTCGCTAAATAAATAGTAAATGGTGACTTGTTCTGTCTTGAATACTGTGATATTCTTTCTCCCAGAGGGATTGCAGTGAGCCAGATCGTAAGGGTACCCCCATCCCCCTCACACTCCCATCACTACTGTACCATTGATATAATGCATCTGGGAGGTATATTCCATACAATACATTGGCCAAATTAGCACAATGCAAATTCTTCGTGCCTTGTACCATTCCCAATGATTTGTATGTGACAGTAAATTGAAATCTCATCCTGGAGGAGCGTATCTGACTGTATAAACAATTTGCATTTAAAAGGCATCCTGTTTGTTTTACGGCCAGCGCTGTGTTTTGATCTGAAAGGGAAAACACAATCCAGTTTTTTTTTTTTTGAATGGGGCTTATTTATTTGTTTGACTTCCTCGGACATGTTAGAGGATTGGTTAGAAGGTGCAATGTGTCGTCGTGTACACTCACAAATCATTCAAGTGCATTTCGTAATGTCTTTCAAGTGCATTGTATTTGTATTTTTTTCTGTGGCGTATTGCATTAAATGGCTTTCTTTTGTGCTGTAAACTTTGTTTTGCCCACAAAATATGCAGTCAATTCACTTTACAGTATATTCTGTGAAGTGCTTTGAGACATCTCGAAGAATTGATAAGGGGCTATATCAAATGAAAGGATTATTATAATGATTATCATATTGTTTGCTGGCCACTTTACACAAATCACTTCCTAAACTTGTAGCAAAATCTGATTATCCTAAACTCTCCAGGATGTGGTGATTTATAGTCAAACCTGCTAAAGCAACCACTTCTGTTCAACCACCACCCGCTGTCAACAACGTCCCAACTGATTTCCTATAATAAAACACCTGTATTCAGTAACCACCTGACTAATGCAACCAAGAGTATTTACTGGGAATGCGTTACCGATTTCCATGGCCCTGTGTGTAAATTCCAAGTACATTTACCAACACCGCGCTGAGCTGCCCACGTGATGCCGATAGCTTTCCCCATCCCCCTCCCCCCTCGCTGGTGAGGCAGGATTGATAAATGCACTAGGATGTCTACATGCAGACCTGCGGAAATTTTGTAAACCATTTTTGGGTTCCTGTCAATGATACCTTTACTCAGAGGCCACCCTTACGCAAAGGGTCACACGTTGGTCCAGACCCCTGAGTGGTCGCTGACAACAGGTTTGACTGTACTTTGAGATGTCACAAAGAATCGAGTAGACAACGAGCCCAGAAACTTGTCAGACCTCGCGATATCACCCGAGTGATAAATCCTGAACCTTCCCTTTAGTGTATTCTACATAACCATCTCGATCAGAGCTGGAGTGAGCAGTACAATTACTGCAATCTGTCTTGTGGAGAAGAAACATTGCAGACTATACTGTTGTCTTGAGAGCAGATGATTTCTTTGAGCACCTGCCTTATGTATGATGACTGCACCATTAGACTGGCACAATTGCAACCAGACCTGCTGGGTTTTGATGGTGGCGTGTGGTACTCAACACATCTAAGAAGTAGGCACTATTGCAGAGTGATTGGAGATAAGTTTTGTGCATTCATGGAGCATGGAAACATTGCCATTAGCCAGTAAAGGTGAATGAGACATCCAACACCAATTAAAATTTACAGGAGTCCTGTAGCTCAGTGGTTAGAGGCATTGCCTCGCAAGTGAGAGACTTGGGTTTGATTCCCAGTATGGAGAAATGTTGGGCAAGTTTCCTTACTCCACACGCCTCTGTTTACCTAGCAGTAAGTAGGAACCCGGTTGTTAGCGAATCGGCAACTTACTTTTCCAGGGTACTAATTCCTTCCCAGAAAAAAATAATAATATTGGTCACTTCAATCCAAGACTGTTTGTGGAACACTGCTGTGTGCAATTGGCTGCCGCATTTCACCCACAAATATACAGTCAATTCACTTTATAGCATATTCTGTGAAGTGCTTTGAGACGTCTAGAAGACATGATAAGGCGCTATATTAAATGCAAGGATTATTACTATTATAAATTGTGCCATGCATGCCACCATCAAAACCTAGCCTGATAAGTCAGTAAAATAGGATGCGTTACTATGCAGTAAACCTATCTAAGATTCTGTCTTGCTGTGTGCTGGCTAATTTATGAAATCCTCTCCTTAACCCATACAACGACAGCAACTTGCATTATACAGATCCCTTCACATGAGGTAACGTCTCGGAACCCTTAATGGTGGTGGAACTTGACACTGAGCTGCGAGTTAGGGGAGATGACTATCGGCGCAGTCAAAGAGGAGGACAGGCAATGATTGGGCAATGCGGAGGAATTGAGGCAGAGTTCCAGAGTTGTGGGACAGAGTAGCTGAAAGCACAGCCACCGATGGTGAAGTCATGGTGTAGAAAGCCAGAGGCCAACCGTGCAAAGGGGCAAGTTACTGACTCACCAACCATTGGAAATAAGTTCTCCTTATTGATTATTAAAACCCCTCTTAATTTTAACGTGCTTCATGTTAATGATCCAAATTGAGATACAGCACGGCACCTCTTCAGTTTTTAAAGCAGTTGGCAAAGCTTCGAACCGGTTGGGAAGTTAATCTAAAATGAAAGTTTAAATGAATCTATTCAGGGCTGTTTACTTTGTGAGTCAGTCCCAGGTGTTCACTTTGTAATGGATGTAAGAATTGGCAGGGTTTTCTAAGATGTTGTGACCTACATTTGTGACCTTCTAAAACTTTACAAACCTGCCTTTTCCCTCCGCTCTGCAGGTATTTGAGTTTAGACAGCTGGTAATAGCTGCAGTATGACTTACACTGCTGCTAATCAAATGAACTTAGAATACTAAGTGTCTTATTTTTTTAAAAACAACCTAAATAGTGTTCTACAGAACATTTACCATCCCCAAACAGTGGTTGAATCTAATGTGAGGTGACATCACCATTGAAATAGGAAGCTAGAAAAGTATCGCACACTCTCTCTAATATCTTGAATTTAATTCTTTGCTGAATAACTGTCTAATTCCCTCTTGAATTTGTTGATGCAATTTCCCTCCCCTACCTCCCTGGTCTATTCCACATTTTCAGCGCTCTGTGTAAAATAAACAAATCCGAGCTGCCTGTTTATTTATCGTTTGTAGCTTCAGTTTGTGCCTCCTTGATTAAGATTTGTTTGAACATGCTAATCATATTACAGGGCAACCCTTTTATAACACTGTAGATTTCTCAGATTTAAAAAAAATTAGATGCTGTGTTAAAACTGGTAACACAAAACAAAGCCTGCCATTCACACTTCCAGATTATAATAAAATAATCCTTGCATTTGATATAGCGCCTTTATCACATCTTCGAGACGTCTCAAAGT